AGGCGGCGGCCGCTCTGGCAGCAGCCATGCCAGGGGCTGGAGGGGCCAAATCTGAAGCCAGAGGCAACGGCCCTCTGCCTGGAGGAGGAGGGCTCATGGAGGAGATGAGTGCCCTGTTAGCAAGGAGGTAGCGACACATCATATATTACTCTTCGATTCAGTACGTCTCAAAATAGGCACTTGAGTCATATGAATGAATTTCAGATCTTGTTTCATATACTACAGAAAAGTGAAACTTGACACAGTTGCCATACAGTAGATTTAGCAAACCCCAATGTTGGTCGCAATGGATTTTGTTGTGCCACCTGAAGAATAAGTTCATGTACTCATCACTCTCACTATTCCTCAGTATTATGAGATGATATGTAGTAAAATCGTAATTTAAATGCACTTTGTTGCTGACAGAGAAGTATCACTGTAAGATCTAGAGAAATCTAAGGAATTTAGGTTTTAAAAATGTGGAGTTCAGGAGGAATTGTGTGGTCTGTGCTTTATGATATTAACATTAAACATGATGATATGTTTTTAAAAATAGCAACTGTTTTTCAGAAATAATTCTGGACTCTGTCTTACAGGAGAAGAATTGCAGAGAAGGGCTCATCACCTGAACCTGACCAGAGATCAGTAAGTACCATTAGATCCTTCTTGTAAGATGATGTCATGGGGTAGGACTGGATAAGTCTGACTTCTTCCTACTCCATTCAAGCATGTACTAGGTATAAGCAAATTGATATTGGATTAGTATTTGTTGGATATGTGTAAAATTATGTGTGTTGACATATCAACTGTTTTTACATGCTTGAAAGAAAGAATAAATCAAATCAAATCAAATCAAGTATTATTTGCATTATTGATTACTATGGCAGTTATTTTCTCAAGCTATTGTTAGCTTATGTCTGTAAAATATCAGTTCATCTTTTATGTCCCAAATGTTCTAAACCCAAACATTTTACAATCATATAAGGACAAAAAGTATTAAATTCTAAAACTCAAGAAGCTGGAACATTTGCCATTTTTTTGCCAAAAATATGAGACAATTATTCAGTTATCAGAATAGTTTCCTATTAATTTTCTGTTGATCAACTAACTGTTGCAGCTCTTGTTTGGTATTAACATGGATAAAATAGGAATTGTGTAATTAAAGATCATAATTCAAGAAAGATTTTTAGCTGCTGCTATGTGGCTTTGTAAAATGCAGATATAAGGTGGAAAAATGCACAGTAAAAATGTCTGTTCCCTAAAAGTGTCTTGAATAGATAAGCTAAAAAATGACAAGCATACTGAACCCAGACACAACCTACACTGAACTCTGTGTTTCCTCATGACATCCTATTACCAGCCGGGAAATAATTCACTTTTGCAATGGTCCACCACCACTCTAGCTGGAAGATTCATGACTAAAGATATCTATTTATACATTTACAAACAAACAAACGCTGTCTGCAGGAGAGCCAGGACAATGTTCTCAGAAGAAGAAAAACAGACCAATTTCAAATCAATCAGTCCTGAGCACTGAGACTGAATCATGCTGAGGGAAAACGTGATTCCATTAACATGGGCCCTGCCAGTCTTGGACAGCAGGGGGCACTCACATGAAGCCAACACTGTGAACTGACCACACCAGCCATGAGGCTACTGCTGGAGCTGTATTTCCAACATATGAGGAAGGAAATAGTCTTATGATTAAATGAGGTTCTGACAGAGGAAGCTTTTGGTTATTCTGACAACAACACATCAAAAAGGGTCTTCAACTAAAGTCTGACCACAAGCAGCGCAGAGGGAAGTAACATTTGAACCTCACAGCACAAAAGAGTAGGAGAGAAAGGGAGGACAGACTCTGTCAATAAGATGGGCATGAACAATTTCAAGATTCAAGATTTTTATTTTCCATTTATGCATAAACAGACAGTCTAGGCATATAGGAATTCTTGTGCAGGGCTCTCCTGGAGTCAAGTAAAGATCTTTAAAGCCAAAAGCTAATTTAGTTTAACAGACATATTTAAGTGAGTGAAACATCTCCTCTGCTGTCAATGCACCCTCATATGAAAATACAAATTAAACAAATAATGTCTTGAAAAATCCATACAAAATGCTAAACGAGTTAAACTAGTTTTACAATTCATCGGAGGCAAACTGGACACTGTCATTCACCTGATGCAGCACAATGGTCATGGCTATATGGGTGTGTGTTCACACTGTATGCTTACTCATACCCAATCTGTCTTTATTGTTTACTGAAGCCTGGACAAATTGCAGTGCCTCTCCAATCCTTCTAATCTTCCAGCTGGATAAATATGTACCTGTGCCGTGCATGCACTCAGCCATTTTCTCCCACAGGGGCCTCTCACATATCACTCAGCTTTAAAGTGTTTTGGTGTGTGATGAGAAAAAACAAATACAGTAAGTAATG